TTGTGAACAACCGATCTTACAAAGAACCTTCTCTCTCTTTTTTTCGTACCCCTATTGTTGCTACATCCGTGCGGAAAATGAAAGTTTAATGCTTGGCAACATCAACGAAGGGCCTAAGGTGAGTTACTGAAAGAATATTTCTATAATAATAAAATCTATCGTGAGAAAATTCAAAATCATTTTTGATGATGTGTGGAAAAACCAAAAAAAATTAAAAAATAAAGTCATATTTCTTTTACAATTATTTATATATATTCAGAGTGTGCCCATTGAAATCGATATCTTCGAAATTGTTGATAGAAAAAAATATGCATCTAATTATCAATTTACCTAATTGCTTGAATAATAAATAAAATAACAATAAATTGCAATGAATAATTTTTAAATATCAAATAAACCAATACTTATTACAACTATTGATATAAAATTCATTAAAAAAACAAAAAAAAAGGATAACACTTATTGCAAAATTTTAACTTATAAATTAAAAAAAAAAACCTTCTATATAACCGATAGTGATAAGTTTGATATTAACAATATTACTAACTAATAATCATATAACTTGAAGGGAAATTATAATAATTGTAATAATACTATTAAAATTTCTAATCATACGATATCATATCTATCCAATAACGGAATAGAAATCTTATGATTATTATGTTTGAAGCCATTCGAAAAGTTTTCCCATGGGAAAATTTGTGAAACTTGAAGGGAAAGGTCCTAGAATAGGACACGCTCGATGATTACGCTCGTATAAGAACACAACGACGTGCTCTAGAAGCGAACCCGAATTTTCATCTCCCTCGTAATCTGCAAACCGGCCGTCACCTCGAATCTCTCAGCTTCTCTCTTTCTCTCTTGTTCATTCACACTTTCTCATTTCTTCTTCTTCTTCTTCTATCCTTCCTCTTTACAGAGAACGTTTGCTCTTAGCATTTCATCGGTAGATGAATTCGACGGCTGTGGATTTCGCGGAAAAAGAGGTTGGTATTAATCTCGGTTCTACTCTACGGTACTTATCGGATGTTATACGAAATATTGCTTCAAATTGCAAAGTACCAAATTTATTACTACGGCATCATAAAAAGAGAACCAAAATATCTTTGCTTATACGTGATTCGTTTTTGATTTTTCGTTATAGTGATAAACATGTTATTACTTTAAATAAATATTTATTGTTAAATTATCTTTTTATATTTATGTCACTTACTTATTGTAATAGTTTTTTTTATTATCGTTTATTTTATACATATTTTTTTCGTTATTATATCATATTAATTCTTTTAGTCATTATATTAATAATATTAATTTAATATATAAATCGTCACTTTTCTCAATCTATTACATAATAAAAAAAAAAGAAGACACAAATTGTTTTACATCATTTTTAATATTTGTTATACATTATTCTAATAAAAATATTTAAATTATTATCAAATTAAATTAACATTACTAAATATATTTAAATTTTTTTTGGTTACGTCATAATCATTGATAATGAAGGAAAATATTTTAAATATAAATACTCCAGTTAAATATTATACAACGATTTATTATTACCCAGACTATTGAAGATTTAGTTAATGAAATAATAATCAATACTTTGATACATAATTAAAGAAAAATTCTTCTTTCTCGGATAACTTGGAAAAAAGAAAATGATAAAATTATTCTTCAAAAGCAAACTTCTCTTATCTCACAAGATACACACCACGATATATTTTCTTGTTAGAATAAAAAATTCGTAATAGTTTATGTATTAAGTACGAGTTAGGATTTCTTGGTAGAAAAAGGAAAGTCGATAAACTTTCCGCGAAACTGTCGTGATCTTAGTTCTATGGTCTCACCAAGAAACATTATTTCTTCAGTTGGAAACTGAAAAAGGAATTCTATATAGACGGCACGAGTGAAGTCACAGAAAGTGGAAAGGAGGAAATAGGGGGAAGGGAAGTAAAAGAAGGAAGGAGCGGGTTTGTAATTCATATTAGAGTCTCCGAGGACAAAGCAATCAAGTTCCTTCGAGAACGGTCGCGACACTCTCAGGCATACTGGACTTTCGCATCAAATTAAACTTACAGATCCCTTCGCTTGTACAAAGACAAGTTTTGAGAGAAAGAGCAAATGTGTGAATGAATCATTCAATCAGTGAATAAATTCGTGAATAAATGCTCAACTATTAAATGAATCAAATACATTTCTATATATGTATGTTGTTTTTTAATTTACTTTTTGTAAACTCTAATTATAATATTAATTAGACAATTAAATGAAAGTTAATCAAATGAGTGAATACATTTATATAACTTTATCTTATTTTCAACTGTAATTAAATAAAATCAAAATGAAAATATAAAACAGAATGAGGGAATGAGGAAAACGTCAATCTATTCTTTGTAGATGTTACCGAAATAAAAATAAAACAATATTACGATAGAAGAACTTACTCTATGAGTTAGAAACTTTGAGAAAAAAAAAAATAAAAAAAGCTTAAAGAAAAGTCTAAACGTGATTGGAATGTACAAAGAAAACGTGCGAATGTAAGATCAAAGTTCAACGAACGTGTCCACGTTTCGACTCGGAGACTTTTCTCCAAGCTTTATCAAATTTGATTAGATCGTGGCCTGAATTGAAAGAAAGATATTTGTTGTTACAATTGGTGGTGTCGCTAAAACTTTATACTTATTAGGTTTAACGAAAAATAACGTTGAAATTAATCGAATATGTGTACAAATTATTTTACTTTATTAGATAATTAAGTATTAAATGTCCGATCATTTCAATTACTTTCAATTCGAAATCAGACATTTCCATACTAATTGATATAATATATGAAAAAATATGTATATTTCATAAAAAAAATATGTTTTATCATTATTATTATTATTATTAGTATTATTATTATTATTATTATTATTATTATTATTATTATTATTATTATTATTAGTATTATTATTATTATTATTATTATTATTATTATTATTATTATTATTATTATTATTATTATTATTTCTTGTGGTTGAAAAATCGTCTCGATTCCTTTAAAGGAAATTGCATCGACTGGTGAAAAGCTCCTCATCGTGAATAAATTTTCAACGAAATACACGTAACTCTTCTAGCGACGATGTGACGTTGAGAGGAAAAAAAGAAAAGAAAAAGGGTATTCCTCGTGTCATGAAAAAGAGTAAGAAACAGAGAAAAAGAGAAGAAGAAACCTCTTAATGCCTCGAATCTTACGGATTCACGGCTGCTTCTACCGGACTGCGAATTAAAATATCGTGGTACCTTGCTAATTGTAAGGTCTGGATGACTCGTCTCGAAAGAAGATTTCAATCTTCTCTTTCTCTCTCTTTTCATTTTTTTTTTACCGACTTCTAGCTCAAATAATCTCACGTAAAGACATATGTGTGACTAAATTAAATTTACGAATAAAATTATAGGAACAAGTTGTCTGATATTTAATTATTGGGTTGAATCAAAAATTTCTTTGTATTTTTTCTTTTTTTTTTTTTTTGGACAAATTACTTTACATTTAATTATATGATATACATATTATTGTTATTTATATGTAAAATATATATTATAATTTTGAATAATTTAAAATGAAATAATAAAGTACATTGTATTGAGGAAAAATTTTTTCCGTATTTGTGTAAAGAAAAATAAAATATGCTTATATATTATATTTTAGAACTTATTCCCACACATATACGAGAACTGCTTTCCCTCGAAGCGATAGCAAAGGTGTACCATACTTGCGAAACAAGGAAGTTTGCATTAAACATTTTCAGGTTGCATGAGGTAAAGCCTCGATGTTGTTAGGTTTCTAGAATGTAAGAGGATAAGATATGCTAGTAACCATACTCCTAGGAGTTACTCTCTAAGTTCTCTCTATTATATTCTAGGGTTAAATACGAGTAGGTTAAATATCATCCTTATTGTTGTTTCTTTTTTTTCTTTTTTTAGTATAACTGAATATTTAGAAATATATCTTTCGTGTACTATTATCAAAGTTTTAAAATAATTATCGGCAAAACAAAGTTGAAACGTTAATTTTTTAGTAGAATCTTATCCTTAAAGCCGATTACATGGCTTACATAAATATCGTATTAATATGAAAAACGTGAAATAAAAAATCATGAAATATTTTGTAAAAAATATTTTGATTCTGAAATTTTTTAATAATTTAACTACTAAATATTACAAATATATTCATATATTTATTGAATAATATTTAAAATGAAATGCTATTATTTTCTTTGAGATTATTTTCTTTTTTTTTTATCAGAAAAGTACAAGTTTCAAACTACATTATTTATTACTCCATATTTTCTTTCCAATTAGAACTATATCGTATCGAATCATGCACATCTCGCATTCGAGTTTCCATCCATTGTCTCGCGTTCACAAACGGAGCAGCATGCTATAGCTAAAAAGGACGCACGAAAAGTCTTTCTCTAGGAGGTGAAACGATTCCCATCACGCACTTGCAGCAAATTTCGAACGAGAAGAACTACGAGCTTGTATACAGTAGTTGCGATAACAACCATAAATCACACGTCGAGCTTAGAAAACATTTGAGAAATAGCTAGTGATCTCGCGAATTTGTATGATTTTATTTTCTTACTACACTTTTTATATATTTTCTATTTTGATATGAAAAAGTTCAAAAAAAAAAAATAATATTTATTATGATAATAATAATAATAATAATTCTTATTTGTGTAATAAAAAGAAAAATATATTATAGTAGTACCTCGTTAAATAAATCGAAGTTCTGGAGTGTTTACACAAGGTCGATTTTATGTCAGGAGTCGTAAGAATTCGTCTAATACGATAACCTTCTCGGAGGAGTGCCGAGAGGGAAGTGCGCTTAAGTCAACGCGTCTAGCAAGTCGACCAAGCTCGGACGTCCTCGAATGAACTCGGTAACCTTCGGTAGTAGCGGGAGGCTTCAGCCACTCGTGGTTTCTCGTATTCAGCTTCTCAGTGCTGTTTCGGACGCGGTAGAGAGTGGACGTGTTTTTTCATTGTCTCTCTCTTTCTCTCTTTTTACCATCGTCGTATTTTTCAGTCTCTCTCGAGAGAATTAATAAACGAACTTACAAACGTTACGACGACGACAACAGACATTTAATCATTCGTTAATAAAACCTAGTGTAAGTGTACGTTGATATTTTTTCCTATTAATGTGTTCTACTTGTATCTGACGAATGAAAAAAGAAGAGACAAATAAAATAACTTATCGCATTCCTGGAATTACTCGACAACGTTGTTCTTCGTTTTAGTGAAAATAGTTGTTTTATCGCCGTGATAACAAGTTAGATAAAGATAACGAACTATCGAATAAACGAGAGTGCGAGAATAATAGAAAGAAAAAGAAAAATAAATCAACGAATAAAAAATATCGAAAGAAAAAAAAGATAATTGTGTTTCCATCAAATTCCAATGGTTCGTACGTTGCACTAACGTAAATAAATATTTTTGCTGATCTTACGAATTAACTGTAAGCTAATATAAAAAGAAGAAGAAGAAGAAGAAGGAATAAAAACGAAAAATAAACCTATCAATTTATCAGTTTTCGTATCTCGTCATTTAAACGAACTTTCACATACATAAATTATTTTAAAGATTAAGTTCTACAAATTTATTTGATTTTATTATTAAATTAAATACGAAGTAATTGCATTTACTTTCATTAGTTAATTTTTGAATTAAAAACATTGAATTTTCTTCTTTCAATCTTTTATCAGATACGATAATCTTTTTGTACTTATGGTTGTGTGATATCTTTTTCCTTAATTTATCGAGTCAGTGAAAGTGAAATAAATAAATAAAAAGAACGCATTTTGTTTAAATATTAGCAGAGAAAAACGTTTCGTTCGATCGTTCGTTCGTTTCGTAGTGCTGTGACAAAAAGAAGAAATTGTGTGATATATCTCGTGTTAGCCAAGCAACCAAGTAATCAACCAATCAACCAGCTAAAACCAACCAGTTATAGCTAGTTGCATCTCTTCTATCTCTGTTCTACATAGTCGATACAGGTAAATATTTATTTGTAAACATATATGGAGCCTCATTTATTTCCCGATCGTAATTCCTCGCTTTTATTCTTCTTTCGAACTCTGTAGTTAAAACGTTAGTTTTGTTTTCGCGAATAAGAGAGAAAAATATTAATAAAAAAGTTCCTATCTCTTCTAATGTGAGTGAACTCGATCGTATTCATATATATATATTCACATATGTATAGTAATTTGTGCTCTCACAGAGGGAAAGTTTCGAAATGTGCGTTGCCAGGTTACGTGGTTTTTCGTTCAATCAGGTCAGCTATTATTATAGTTACAATCCAAAAATAAAAGATTCTATCCTTTCTTTTGATGACCCTATTTGTTTTTTATTTTTTTACTTGTAATCTTTGATTAAAAATTCCAAGTGATTCCATTTGATAAAAGTGAACGAATTAAAAGTACATTTTTATTTGCGAAAAATTGAAACGGTCTTAACCTTACACCGAAAGATGCATTATTTTTTTATATTTTATCGAATAAAATGTTTTCCTTTTAAAGAAAATTACCTTCTAATAATATAAACAAAAATAATTATTATTATAATAAAATTAATGAAAATTCAGTAATACGTGAAAATATAAAAAGACATTATTATTAAAGCTTATACGTAGATTCATTTTTACAAACTCGTTTCTTTTGAAATGTTCAAATTATTTTAAAATAAGACGATAATTTTTATAAGAAGATTAATTGAACGATTGATACATTTTATGATAAATCATAGTATAAGTTTTTTACGAGTAAATATATTTATAGAGAAGTAGAGCGGAACGGTTCATTTTTAGTATAATCAAAGAATTACATATCACACTATGAATTGATACACTGTGAATATATTATATATATAAATGTAAAGTTTTTCAAAATATATGAGTAAAACTGATGGTGTTTTGGTATGCTAAAAAAAGAAGCAATTTTTTTATCTTCCATTAATTCATATAACTTTAATGACTGTTTACTTTAACTATTTACGAGTAAGCTACTTATCTTATATTAGACATTTAATTCTGAAATAAATAAATTGGTCGTGGAGGGCCAATTAATTGGCCAGCACGATTGCTTGATCTAAATCCGTTGAGTTTTTATTTACGAGAACACTTAAAATCTTCAATTTCCAATACATCAGTTAACAGTTGAACAGTTTTTATGAAAATGATATAATAACGAGTGTAATAGAAGAATATGATTGTATGACAATTTGTTTTTTAATAAAACGCGAAATGAAACAAGTCCTAAAGTTATGCTCACATATTTTGAGATATTTTGTATGTATAGGTATACGTATATTTAACGATCCTGACCGCAAGTGGGATAATCATTTCGAGAACGCGTCAGATGTCGGATCATTGATACGATCATGTTCGGTCCAGCTACATGCGTGGTTAATACGTAATTTGAAACTGACAGAAAGTCACGAAAATTAACGAGGAATAACGATCGTTAGTCTGCGTATGACGACTCATCTACATTATATCAGTTAATATCGTGATAAGTTATTTATCTAAAAAAAGTTTTTTTTTATCAATATATAATATTATTTTATAGGAAAAAATTTAGTTCATGTTATTGCATAAAATGTGTTTATAAAGTTAAATAATTCGTACGTAACAAGCATGAACTAATTTTTTTATTAATTTTAAAACTGATAAAAATTTCATTCGACGCAGTCGGTTTATGGTTTATTTATTTGAAAATTTATTCATTCTCTTTTCTCAAATATTGATTCTTAAAATATTAATTAAAAGATCCTTGTGACTATTTGACTAAACCTTGATGCAGAAGTTGTTTCATCTACAAGAGATTCTCTTTAGCAGAATATACATATTTGCTACTATTCGAAATATATTTATACTCAACATATATACACACACACAAACACACATTGAGAAACTTACTTAAAGGATAAATGAAAATTGGATAATGTCCGAAATTTAAAATTTCCTTTTATGCAGCACAGAGTCGACCTTTATTTTTTTTTGTTTTTTTTTAAACATAGATATTCTTTTTTCAGATTTACATATTTTTTAGCCAACATCCGATTGGTATTAGTCATCGATCAAAAAAAAAGAAAAAAAAATAGGAAAAAAGGAAAATAAAAATATTTGATTTGTTGTTCTCGAACGTTATGAATTTTACGAACTGTTTCCTGAAAAAAAAAAAAAAATATATATATATATATATATATATATATATGGGACAGATATTTTTGTTTTATTTTAGTCGTTGGGATATTTTTTTGTTTTGTTTTTGACACCACCTTCGTAATATTCGATAAATCAACATTTCGGCATTCGATACTAAAATCTTTCCTAAGGAGCGAGGGGTAGAAGGAGTGAAAGGGTCGTGTGAATTTAAGAAAACTTAAAATATAACGTTTCGATGTTTCATAAAATACTACTGCTACCATACGTATAGCTATAACCAACGAAAAGCTAACAAAGGAACAAATAAAATAAAACAAAAGTAACAAATAAAATAACAATAACTAAATAAAGAAACAGAAAAAAAGTATTTACGTAAATACCTTTGAAAACTAGTAATACGTGTGAGTAAGTGTTGGAATACAAAGGTTGATTTATATTACAACGCGATTACTTTGATTTATTACAAAATTTTAAAGACAACGCCGATTTAATTTTTTTTAATTAAAGATTATTGATCATAGAACAAATCGTTGTAAATGAGAATTCGAAAAATTTTCAATTTATATTCTATAGCAAAATTTATACAAATATTTACTTTAATAATCGTTAAATTAGAACGAAACGTAACTAAAAAAAAAGAGGGAAATAAAATAGGGGGAAGGGGGAACGTTAAGTATAGTACTATAAGTTGATTTAATTACGTTAAAATCGATCGTTATAGAAGTTAAGATTGTAACGACCGAATTTTCTATAAAGTATCGTAAAACGAAGGAATAAACTCTTTCGTTTCCCCTTTCTTTACAATATCTATGCGTCTTCGTCGTCCTTTCGTAGTGAAATAACTCGGCACGCGTGCGAAGGTACCGGTTCGAGTCGACGAACTCGAAGAAGGTTGACCAAGGCCGTTCGGGTTTATTTATAGCAGCGATTTAACGATCCAGACTTTTGCCGGGAATGGTATTTTCGTAGATCCACACCAAGAAAGAGAGAAAGTGAGAGAGAGAATGAGAAAAAGAGAGAAAGATAGATGTCCAAAATGTGTAGGCGAGATGCCAGAAACCAGAGAATAGTTCACTAAATTATACTAATTGTAAGTGCAGTCACAGTGGTTTTCGGACACTTAAATGAAGATCTTAAAAGCGTATAGTAATGGTAATGTTTGTTAGAAATTTATTATATTTGTTTTGTTTGCAATCACACTGTGCTTTTACAATTTTTTGATAAAAATCTTTAAAGGTTTGTGTTATATAACAACGTAATTTTATAATATATTATAATTGTTGTTTTTCTACTGATAAGAAATTTTGTTAATATTTCGATTTAAATCTCGAAAGTTTGTATTAGACATTAATTGAATTTTAAGATTTATTGTAATTATAATGTGTAGTCATTGTAATTTTCAAATACTTCAATTAAAAAATAATTCATTCTATATTTTTATTTTTTACTTTTTCTAAAATAATTTTATCTCTAAAAAGAAGTTGTTTCAGTCTATAAATATAACTATTAATAATACACATAACAGTTTATCCAGATATTTCGTGGGTATATAGCAATTTTAATAATTATTAATTTTTGTGCAAATATTGTAGCAAAAGTAATGAATCAAGTTTTGTTTTTTTATTTTTAATTTAATAAATAATTTTAATCGCGTGTTTTCTATTGAAGATAACTGTACTTACCGGATAATTAAATACATTAAATTTATGTTTAGATTCTTAACTTACATTAGACTAACTTTTATTATATTAATTATTTATATATACATATATATATATATATATATTTTTTTTTTTTTTTTTAAATAAATTCTAACTAATTCAATGTACTATTTTACATTTAATTTACCGCCATACACACAAGTGTATATTTAATGTATTATACATACGCTATTAAAAATGCAGGTTTAACAATTAGAAACAGTTAGTAAAGATAATAGAAAAGCATAAACACGGAAAGGGAAGGACATCGATGCGCATCGTGAATTTACATAAATGTTTTTAAAGAGGATGGATAGAAATAAGAAGAACAAGAGAAGAAGGAAGAGTGGTAGAAGAAGAAGTCTTTGCTTCATCCGGTTTCTATAAGATAGACAAAAAAAAAACTACAAAAGGGAAAGACGGATAGTGTGACAGAAAGAGAAAGAGAGAGAGAGAGAGAGAGAAATAGAAAGAGATAAAAAAATAGGAGGGGTTGAATTCCATGCACGTACAAATTCTGGAACAAGATAGGTCGAGGGTTGTGAAGTGTAGGAGAGGGGAGAGAGGTACTCGAGGGTGCTCTAAATTATGCAGGAGCTTTTAAAAGTGTATACATTGAAAAAGTTGGTGGTGGGCTCGGTGGCGAGCCAGTCCAAAAATTTGCATTGACCTCTATCTTTCCCCCACCATATTTCCCCTCTCTTTTATTTAAATCTTTGTTTTTTCTTTCTCTTTCTATATAATACATCTATCTTTCTTTCTCTCTCTCTCTCTCTATTTTTCCTTCTCTTTCTCTTACTCATCCTTTATTTTATTCGGTAACACCAAGTCACTTAGAGCTACCGTTACAAACTATCCATCCGTTCCTTGGAAGGTATGAATTATGCAGCCGGTTATCTCGATAGCTGCAATCAGAGAAAAGAAGTAGCACGCGGAAGAAGCAAGCAACGGTGGTGTGGGCCCGGCTACGGTGGAATAAAAACTAGTCCAAGTGGAAAAATAGACCGATTCGATTGGAACGGGAACGCTCGAAACTCGTTCTTTCCAAGATATTCCAAAAGCATTTCAGTACGAAGTCTTTGCTACATAGAGATTTCACTTTGATTCGAGTTTAGTATAAAATTTGCTTCAA